CATCATTGTTGTTTGGCGGGCCCGGGCTGGGGATTCGAACCCGCCACCTTAGGTGTATGTGGCTGGTGCCTTAGCCGCTTGAGCCACAGGCGCCGAGCCAAAGCACTTTTTCTAGGATGAATTCATGAACTCATTTGTCAGATCTCATACAAAGACAGCTCTGATGGCCGTTCTAGAAGAAGAGTTCCAAAACCGCTCTGAAGGGTTGACACTGGCATCAGTGCATGGCTTCCCAAGGGGAGTACTTTGAAGGTGACTATAGTGATCTTCAGCAATGAGGTATGGAGCACTTTTTCTAGGTTGAGGTCATGAACTTCATTGTCTAACTTTGTATGTGCGTGTACACATATATGCACACACAGACACATATATACATATAAACATGCTATGTACATAATACATACTTGCATATATAAGTACACACTTGCATACATATACAAAGGGTGCCAAAATGTATACACATTTTAGGAAAGGAAAAAACTATGTAATTATAACACTCAACATGTACTGATAATGTTTGTTATCTTATATCTCTTATAATTGGAGAAGTGAAACATGACTTGAGTATTACAATTTTAGTAGTCTTTTCCTTCTTTAAAATGTGTCTACATTTTGGGGGAACCCTCTGTATACATATACACATGCATTTACATATAAACATCTATACATGTAAATACACATTTACACACACGTATACATACACAGATACACACAGATATATACACATACATATGTACACACACATATAGACCCTTTTTTTGGAGACAGAGTCACCCTCTGTAGAGTGCTATGGCGTCACAGCTCATAGCAAACACAAACTCTTGGGCTTAAGCGATTCTCTTGCCTCAGCTTCCCAAGTAGCTGGGACTACAGGCGCCTGCCACAACAACCAGCTATTTTTTTTCTTGCAGTTGTTATTATTGTTTAGCAGGCCGGGCCCAGGCTCAAACCAGCCAGCCCCGGTGTATGTGGCTGGTACTATAACCACTGAGCTACAGGTCCTGAGCCTTTCCCAGAGTTTTTGAATGAGAGTAGTATTCCAACGCATCATTGGAAATTATTCGTCTGTAACAACAGATCATTATGATCCACTAAATAGAAACTTCTTGATAGGAAGGCCCATATTTTATTCATTTTTCTACCTCCATAATTGACACACATTAGAAACCCAATAAATGTTTGTGAATTAATAAAATAAAGAAAAATATATAAATGTTGAGAGATAACCTTTTAACTCATTTGTCAAAAGCAATTGTAATATTCACATCTAAGAACCCATCTGAAAGGCTAAATGAATAGCTAAGATATTTTGTTTTTCTTTTTTCTCTTTCTCTTTTTCTTTCCTACCTTCCTTCAGTTCCTTCCTTCTTCCTTCCTTTCCTTTTCCTTCCTTCCTCTCTTCCTTTCCTTCCTCCCTTCTTCCTTTTTTTCTTCCATTTTCTTTCTCTTTCTTCCCCCTCCCTTCTTTCTTGAGACAGTGTCTATCTCACTTTCTTGCCTAAGCTTGAGTGCAAGGGCATCATCACAGCTCACTGCAACCTCCAACTCCCAGGCTCAAGTGATCCTCCAGCCTCAGCCACCTGAGGAGCTGGAACAACAGGCACGTACCACCATGCTCAGCTATTTTTTTTCTTTTTTTTTTTAGTAGAGACAGGGTCTTGCCATGTTGGCCAGGATGGTCTCAAATTCTTGAACTCAAGCAACTCTTCTGTGTCAATGTCCCAAAGTGCTAGGATTACAGGTGTGAGCCACCATGCCCTGCCTGAATAGTTAAGATTTTAATATATAGTTTTTGTTGTGGTCCAACTATAAAATATATAGGTTAAAAATATAGTTAGTGAATTGGAATCAGCCTGCAATATTTTACTAACAACCATAAGTTCAGTTTTTAAATGTCAAAGGCTTGAAAGAATCTAGAAAAGTTTACATGTACATAACCTAAGTATATCAATAATTTCTTTCCCTTTTCTGTTCCTTTCAAAATATGCTCTGGAAAATTGAGGGGCAAAGAGGAAGGAAAGAAACAAAGAAAAGCCTGGTGAAAAGCAACAATAAAAAAACCTTCATCTTGGCTCGGCGCCCATAGCTCAGTGGTTAGAGCGCCAGCCACATACACTGGAGCTGGTGGGTTCAAACCCGGGCTGGGCCTGCTAAACAACAGTGACAACAACAACAACAACAAACAGCCAGGCATTGTGGCAGGCGCCTGTAGTCCCAGCTACTTGGCAGGCTGAAGCAAGAGAATCGCTTAAGCCCAAGAGTTTGAGGTTGCTGTGAGCTGTGACGCCACAGCACTCTACTGAGGGTGACCTAATGAAACTCTGTCTCAAAAAAAAAAAAAAAACACCCTTCACCTTCACCTCTCTCATCCAATCTCTCAGGTCCCCAGTACTCTTGCTCATGGTGTTAAGTAGCATTCATTCCACAATTTCAAGAGGTTGAAAACCTCACAATCCAACTTCATCTGAATGCTGTATTGGAATAGAGTCATAGTCCAGGAAGTCTCAGACAAGCTCACCAGGAAACACATTCCAAAAGTCTATTGTTCTCTGTGATAGAATGTTGATACTCAGAGACAAGAAAGGTAATACCCTTCACTGAGCACTTTCTGTGTGCTATCCACCTTCTCCAGGAACTTCTCATACATTCTCTCAGTGAACCGTCACTCCAGCCCTCATCTCTAGATGAGGTGAGGAGGTTTAAAGAAGTAACACAGGAAGGCCCCACACCAACTGTCTGAGCCAAGATATGAGTCCACACCTGTCAGTCTCCAAAACCAGGCTCAGAGTGGCCACACACGACATCGTGTTCCCCTCAGCAGTGCACTCTTCATGGGCTAGCCATAACATCTTCATGTCAGCCAGTGTTTGGTGGGAAAATGTTAGCAGAAGGGAGTACATGAAACAGTCCTTGACCAGAAGGACATGCTATCTTCTTGGAGAGACATAATTGGAAATAGGCAGTGAATAATTCCAGCTGTAGTAAAGTGCTAAAAGAAAATTAA